GAGAGGTGGGATGCAAAATACTGGGTAGCAGCAGGAAGGTGAATTAGTATGAGCAATTTGGCTGCTCACTTGAGAATGTGGTGGATAAACCACCAAAGGGATTTTAATTCTGAGTAGATATGGTTGCATTGGGGGAATCCACCAGTGCGAGTTAGATGTTAGCGAAGGATTCCCTTAACGCAACAATATCTTTATCAAAATTTAAGAAGACTCTGAGTAAGTGCCAAGGAACTTTGCATTAAAGGACAGTGATCTCTGCACTTGTTGTTGGATGTGGAACTTGATGATTCAACGAGGTGCTTCCTTAAAGTGATTTCCCATACTGATTAGTGATTGGTGTTTAAGGAGAGCGTATTTATGTTGCATAATTTTTTCAGTTAGGGTGTCAATTTAGATTCTTTTTCTCAGAATACTTGTTTGTTTTATAATCTGTACTAGCTTTTGAACTCTATGTGTGTATGGCTGGATTCAACTTCATTATTTGTTCTTGGGATTTTTTATCTTCCTGGTAGATAGATTCCAGATTGACATATTTTTGAACTAGTCTTGTTATTACTTCTACATTACATAGTTTCTGTCCTTATCTTTCGTATATATCACATCTGAAAATGTTGGGATTGATTAACTTTGAATGCGCCTTTATCTCTCTTAACTATTTTTATTCCATTCTTTTCAGGACCTCTACCTCTTATTTTTTTTAGTTATAATAAAGTAGGCACAGAACTTTGCATGTATTCAGAATACCTTAGGTGAGATAAAACTTATTCTTGGCTTGTTTTTAAGATGGTCTGAACTCTGAAGTTTCTTTTACTTATTTAGGAATTTGGGGGTTCATTGTATTGAAGACATGAAAATTTATATGAAGCCTTACATCACAGGGAATTTGTAAAGGGAAAGCTGAAACCTGTAGTTCTGACAATCACAGGAATGAAGGTAAATTGCAGATCAGCCAGGAGTCAAGTTTTCAGGGACAGAGGATATAGTTATTGCCATATTGATATGTTGAGGTTTCTATCCTTAGAGGTCAATCATATAGTTGGTGATCATTAATGACTATGAACACTGGAGAGAGGGAGGAATTTGGAGTGGTTTGCCATGCAAAAAATGCAAAATGATATTTGATTTAATTGAATATCAGTAGAATCAGCAGATCTGGGGATGCTTACATGGGCTTTAGCTTTACAAGCTCTTCCATTTTTGGAGTGAACCCGAGTCTAATATTTCCTTCTTTTGATATTCACTTTTTATTAGATGCTGTCATGGAACTTGCTTGAAGCAGACTCTAGTAATTCAGCAGTTCTTACCAAAGTGCAGCAATTAATTGGTGGCTTCTTCCAACTTTCGGTGTTTTCAAGTGAGATTTTTGGGGTCATGCTATGATTCTGAACTCGAGCAGATTAGTAGAATTCATAATTGTCTTGAAAGTTCTTGATTCAATAATATACAAGGAATGGTGTCCAAATCTTTTCAGAGAGTTTTGTTTATCCCATTTGAAAACTTTCCACGGATTTCTTGAACTCGTTGCTTAACTTCTTTTTCTTTATTTGCATCTAGACCTTTCCCATCGTGGCTTGCTATACATATCTTTTACTCTGGGGGGTTCTTGTTTTTATTGCAAGGGATTCTGGTTTGTTGAGACAACAGCGGGAAGCTTTTCTTCTTTTGGAGAATGTAACCCAGTTCTGGCTCTCTGGTTCGGTTTCTCCAGTCTAATATTAACCAAGGATTTCGGGGTTTCTGTTTTCTTACAATGGATTCTGTTTTATTGAAACAACGAAGTGGAAAATTTTCTTCTCTTTGAAAATGTAACCGATTTCTGGTTCTCCCCTGACGGTAACCCAAGATTTGCAGATTACATTTTCCATGAGATAATGGAGGTAAATCTCACAGTTTCCCTTGCAATAGTGGAAGGGGAAACCACGGGATGTATCTGACTAGCTCTTACAAGGGCACAACTTTTTTATCTGAAGTAATTTCTATTTGTATATATTTCCATTACAAGTCCTTGTGTTTTTATTTTATTTTCTTTTCTGATTAATAAAAAAAAATGGAGCGACTGTAACGCGTGCCATTCACCTCCTTCTCTATCCCTTGAGTCAAGAAGATGCATGATGGCCATGATTCGATATTTTCTTTGAAACCAATATCCTGCTTTTTGTTTCACATACTGTCTATACAATGGGTTAAATCTGGTTGATGATCTCAATGCATTGTATATGGGTTTGGCTACTATGTTCTTGGGAAGATGAAGAGGTGGCATTTTTAATGCAGTTTTGCGGTGCATGGAGCTGAGTTTTGTTTCACTTGGGCATAAAATGGGATGTTAAATAATCCATCTATGGCAGGTGCACTACTGTGGGGAAGATGGCTTCCTTTTCAAGTTAAAGAAAGATAATCAGAACTCCCATCTGCTTTATATTTCCATACAACACTGTTCCACAACATGGCATGCGATTTTCCTAGCTTGCTGAAACTGTGTAATGGCATGTGGAGCTGAGTTAATTAATGCTAGAAAGTATAGGATAGGAACACTGGATGTCAGTGCCATTTTCATAGACTGATGTCGTGATTTATGGTCGGTTGGACACGCCAATTTAGGTGGCTTCTTTTAAGAGGACAGTCCAGAGGATGAGTTGCTTCTGCAGCAGAACATCTCTGAAGGAAGATCATTCTAGTGCATAATGTCAGTATTAAACGTTCGATTAGTCATCCAGATTATGTTATCATTGGTTCATTTGCAACAATAATCTCACATTCTACGACTCTCTTTGGACCTACCTGGATATTCATAGACACAGAACAAGATCGCAGAACCTTCATATTCTAATATTTCTTGACATTTCCACGAAGGGGATAGATTTCATAGTCATCGTAGTAATACAAACAAAAAGAAACTCTGTATCTCATTTTTGCTTTTCGTTAATCCTACTAATATACACAAAACTGATATAAGGAAGCTAAGACTACCATCTGTCATTCCTCATCAATCTCATTATGCCCTTTCAATGAACATAAAGGGGATGAAGGAGAAAATGAAGAAACAGCAGAAGAAAAGGAAGTGGAATCAGAACAAGAAGCAGCTGCAATCCCAACAAGTAGATCCACGAATGCCCCAACTATATACCCATGATTCTTTTTCCCATTGACCTTCAAATACCACCCCAACAACTCCTCTAAACAATCCCAATCTTTAAGTCCATGAGACTCCACCATCTCCTCCATTGACCTTCTAAAATCAACATATGGATCCTCTGACTCCATTGCTAGAACCACACTTTCTTTGAATGGAAACCCTCCTGTTTTTGCCTCTTCTAGTATTGAGTTTGTGTCTCCAGGCTCAAAAAACAACCTTTCTGATCTCAACCCACGTATAACAACCTCCAACGACTCCCCATCAAAGCCCTCCGATTCAGTTGAGAAACTTGTAGTTTCTGATGAGTTTGTGAACCATGACTCCGGTGTCTCAACCCTTTCAGAAGGATCAAAGAAAACTGAGTTTACAGTCTTGATCACATCATCTCCACCCCTGAAAGAAAGAGTCTTGGGGTGCTTGCATGAAGGCCATTTTTGCCATGACTGCTTTGTTTCTTTGATCTTGAACAGTGTAGGGATCTTCATTTTTCTTGATCTCAAACACTAGCAAGAGAAAGCTTGAATGGTTTTATAAGGGCTTGTGAATGTCTGTTGCCTTTTGGTTTGCTATTAATGTGATCAGAGGAAGTTGTGCGGGTAAATATTTAAAGAAGAGGCGAGGCGTAGGGGGGGGGGGGGAAGGAAATGGGGCTGGTAGGGCCTGTCATGAGTGTATTAAATTTTAGGTTCCATAATTGAATATGATATTAAATGCCTCCTCAAAGCAACTGAACATAGCACAGCTTTTGTCAGCACGAATTTTATAATGTTGTGCTAATATTTTATGCTCACAAGCTGCTAATACATGGAGTTCCCTTGGGCTTGATCAGTTGATTTTCCTGTGCCCTAAAGTTTTCCTATCCCTTTCACAGCACATCTCTTCCGAGTTACTGCAATTTCGCTGTCAAAACTACTGCATGCAAAGATGTGTGAACATGGCGCCTGCTTAGATTCAAGTGAGTGTTCTTGGATTCCCTTAAACAGTCAAGCTGGATTGAATAAAAATTACTTAAAGGAGAAACCTAATTGAGCATGCTGTGTTTCGTAATTGTGGAAGTGAGCTCTGCTGTTCTCTCGTCTTGGACCACATGATGATATCATATATTATACAAAAAACGTCTAGAAAACGCTGTTTTGATTATTAAAGTAATCGAAAGAGACACGTACATTAGGAAATTTAAGAACTTCATGAGGAAATTGAAAAAACAAATCATAGGATAGGAGGCAAGATTCATGTGACTCTTTTTAAGGAAGAACGGTTGGATGACGCACACTTGACCTTGCCAATGGATTCATGAGGCCAGACCTGGGAGATTAAACGGATAGAATCCATAACATAGGTATTATATTCCTTCCTAGTCAATTTCTCCCTTTATTTTTTACAAAATTTATAGGTTTTAATTCAATCCGGTCCTGAATTAACCCGGAACATGGGTGAAGGTATCTCATTTATTGGAATAAAAGTACTTCATTTCCTTTTATTTTCTTTCCCT